CCCTCCCCACGCCTCCCTCCGGCCTCCCCTTCAACTCACTGCCCCGCGAGAGGCTGAAGAAACCCAACGCCACACTCCTTCCTCCGCCCAAAAACAAGGAGGAGTTTGAGAAGGTAACTTGTCAGCCTGGGCTTTTATTTCTCATGGGTTTATGGCAGTGTTTTGTTAAATCAGCCTTTTAGTAGTGAGCAGTCAGAGCAGGTTCTTAATGTAAGTATATGTGAATTAAAGTCGTTTTTATTATATGGGTCAATGACGTAGAAGAGCTTGTTTAAAAATACAAAAACTCAGAACATCTATTTACATTTAACCAACATGTAGATTGTTGCGTACACAAATGATTATTTTTCGGTGCTTTAAGTATTTTTTCCACCTTAATTAATCGGATGTGCGCTTAGAAAAAAATGTGGTGCGACCATGATTTATCGTAAAAATAAATAATTTCTGTGACATTATTTTACAAGCTTCAACTCAAACGTGTTTTTAATAATGTCTCGGTTTGATTTAAATATCAAAACAGCGCTTTGTAATGTTCTAAAGGACTTAAATAACATTTAAAACATCATGTTAAATAAGATTTTTATATAGAGGCGAAGTCCCGCCCATCTACTTCCAACCCATGGGACCTTATTTCGGAAAAGTTATGTATTGAAGTCCCCCGGAAAGGGAGGGACTTCTTCGCCTCTTAGTTTTCGAAACAGCATTCAAGACCGTCAGTCGCACCACAATATATTTTAGACACTTTGATTAACAAAAGAAAATATTAATATTGTGTGTACATACATTTGAAAGCTGCTACTATAATATAGTTAAGATGATTTAAAGATTATTTTTGACGCTTGGAAAGAAAACCGGTGCCACGACATTGACCCATATATGAAAGTGTGGGAGTAATGAAATGTTAGCGTGTGGAGATGATTAGATGATTGAAATGAAGTCAAACACTGACAGCAGTGAAGGAAAGCAGTTGTTGTCTATTTGCACTTTAAATACATTTTTTATATTTTTCACCTGTTGCCTTTTTAACAATACTCACATTCTATGTTTATTATCTGATGTGACTTCATATACAGACTCTGTCGCAAGCCATAGTCAAAGTGGTTATCCCAACAGAAAGGTACATGTTTTTCTTTTTTTTAAATTGGTGTACAAACTTAGAAAACAAAAAAACATCCCATAATGAAGCTCAAGCTTGATCTGTTGATCCTCACATGCTACGGGGGCCGGGCCGTGTGGGCGAGCAACGGTTGGAGTTATTGTCATTTTCATTAGTGGATAGAATAACACCGACTCTCATCGCTCATATTTCATTTTGAACAGAGGTGGGACGTGACTACATTTACTCAAATGCTTAAGGACAATTTTGAGGTACTTTACTTGAGTATTTCCACTTTATGCGACTTTGTACTTTTACTCCACTACATACCTTTAGTTACTTCACAGATGTGGATGAATGATGTGAAATCTAACCAAGTGTTGAATCAGACTTTAGTTCCTCCTGGAGTAAATCCACCAGCTACCCTGCAGTATACAAAGTACTTCAAACTAGCTGCACCTTCACCAGCTTTGAGAACACTTTCATGATCAATCATTATAAAACATATCATATATATTATTCTGAAATGGACCAATCTGCACAACGAATACTTTACTGTCGCTACTTTCACTATATTTTGATGAGAATACTTTTATACTTTCACTTGAGGAACATTTTGAATGCAGGACTTTTACTGTAACAGAGTATTCCTACACTCTGGTACTTCTACTTTTACTCAAGTACAAGATCTGAGTACTACTTTCACTCAAGTATAAGATCTGAGTACTTCTACTTTTACTCAAGTACAAGATCTGAGTACTTCTACTTTTACTCAAATACAAGATCTAAGTACTTCTACTTTTACTCAAGTACAAGATCTGAGTACTACTTTTACTCAAGTACAATATCTGAGTATTTCTACTTTTACTCAAGTACAATATCTGAGTACTTCTACTTTTACTCAAGTACAAGATCTGAGTACTTCTATTTTTACTCAAGTACAAAATCGGAGTACTTCTACTTTTACTCAAGTACAATATCTGAGTACTTCTACTTTTACTCAAGCACAAGATCTGAGTACTTATACTTTAACTCAAGTACAAGATCTGAGTACTTTTACTCAAGTACAAGATCTGAGTACTTATACTTTAACTCAAGTACAAGATCTGAGTACTTTTACTCAAGTACAAGATCTGAGTACTTGTACTTTAACTCAAGTACAAGATCTGAGTACTTTTACTCAAGTACAAGATCTGAGTACTTCTACTTTAACTCAAGTACAAGATCTGAGTACTTATACTTTTACTCAAGTACAAGAGAAGTAAGCTAAGCATCTTTGAGTTCCAGAAAAGCGCTATAGAAATATAATTTATTATTAAGACATGAGTACTTCTACTTTTACTCAAGAACAAGACATGAGTACTTCTACTTGTACTCTAGTCCAAGACATGAGTACTTCTACTTTTACTCAAGAACAAGACATGAGTACTTCTACTTGTACTCTAGTCCAAGACATGAGTACTTCTACTTGTACCCTAGTCCAAGACATGAGTACTTCTACTTGTACTCTAGTCCAAGACATGAGTACTTCTACTTGTACCCTAGTCCAAGACATGAGTACTTCTACTTGTACTCTAGTCCAAGACATGAGTACTTCTACTTGTACCCTAGTCCAAGACATGAGTACTTCTACTTTTACTCTAGTACAAGACATGAGTACTTCTACTTGTACTCTAGTACAAGACATGAGTACTTCTACTTTTACTCTAGTACAAGAAATGAGTACTTCTACTTGTACTCTAGTCCAAGACATGAGTACTTCTACTTTTACTCTAGTACAAGACATGAGTACTTCTCCCACCTCTGCTTTTTCAACATGTAGTAAAACATCATCCTAGTGCTTTTCAAACGAGCTGCATCATCATGACCTTTCTCCATACTTCCCCATCGTGTTGTTTTTGAACATTAGTGACACAGAGTCAGCTGACCGTAGATCTGTAGTGATGACACCCTGCTCTCGGGCCATTGCTCCCTCCCACCAGTCTCCCCCCTTTGGCCTCTGTCTTTATTCGGGAGCCTCAAGTAAATCTGGGGCCCCCTCCCCCTCTGCCATTCAAATCCAAAACCCACCACTATTAGTCTCTATATGACCTTTGACATTGCCTTGGTGAGCAGCACAAGTTGAACTGTCTGCAGCAGCGAGGGGACCTGAAAAGCATCATGGGGATGGATTGGGAAAGTATACTGAATTTTACAACCCCCCCGCCATTGGTATGATCGGCTCCAATACAAGTAATGTGATCTGTGTTGTCAAAATGAAAGACATCACTTTTGTCTTGTTGGCCACTTTAGGTTAATTGTATGCAGCCTGCACCATGTATCTGTCACAGACGATCTGATTGCCATTAGCAGATCTCATTTTAAGATACTCATGCCACAGTCCTGTACTGCTTTGGTTCTTCCTCACTTCACATTAGTCAGGACATTAGTGGGAACTGAAAGGCATTAACCGGTCTGTTTCAGTTCATGCAGTGTCTTATCAACGGTCTCTCTCCTACTTTCCAAGCTCACCTGTCGTGCAATGTACTTTAAACCCTGTTGCACTGTAGCTCTTAAAAACACATACATATGAACATGTTAGATTGTATGCACATATTGTTAATTGAAATGATAGTTTTACTGTAGTTTCATTTAAAGTTTTTTTTGCAGCATTTATGCACTTTTGATTCATACATAGGCTCAGTCACAGTTGCATTTAATTTGTGCGTGGTCACGTGACACCTTTTGACAGTTGTTTTAACTAAGATAAGGCTTCACAATCAATTATAACTTATATATATTAGTGACATCTTAACCTCAAAACGCATTAAAACAAGTTAAATGATGGCGGTTACAGCCTACTGTGTGTAATATCTGCAGTTACACCCTGCTAAACATGTCAATAAAGCATTGTTTCTGCGTATAGTCGACTGTTCCTGAGTGTCCGTCCACCTCGCACACATTAAAGTTACACAGACAGGCTTTCTGTAGTGTTCAAGAGTCAGGCCAGTCTGAATCCGTGTGCTTTAACTGTGTTTTTCTTGTAGGAATTTGCTCTCTCTCATCCACCGAATGATCGAGTTTGTGGTGCGTGAAGGCCCAATGTTTGAAGCCATGATCATGAACAGAGAAATCAACAACCCCATGTACAGGTAAGCCATCGTGCACATCAGCATAGAGAGGCGAAGTCCCCGCCCGTCTACTTCCGCCCCATTCGGACCTTATTTCGGGAAATTATGTATTGAAGTCGATGGAGAGAGAAAACATATCTTTTGACCCGTTTGAATTGTGCCACGAATTACACATATGATGTTTGTCAATTTAAAAGATAATTTCAAAGTCAAAAAAGTCACAGTTTGTCGTAAAACTGTTGAAATATAAGACTATGAAAAATACGCAACTAGAAAGACTACAAATCCCAGAGTCCCGGTCCCGCATGCTGGCTCTCACGGAAACCGACTAACTCCCCTTGTGTGTATGCACAGCTCTCAACGTGCCCAGACTTGGAGTGATTTTCACCCTCTTTTAATACTTTCCGCCTCATTCTGAAAGAAAGGAGTGAAATGTTCCAACGTGACGGCCGTCTGGGTGTGTGGTGCGAGACGGGAGATGTAGTTCATTGAGCGGTTTCACACACACATGTGTTACTTCACAGTTTGACGACGAGAGCCAGCATGCGGGACCGGGACTCTTTCTAGTTGCGTATTAGTCATAGTCTTATATTTCAACTGTTTTACGACAAACTGTGACTTTTTTGACACGGAAATTATCTTTTAAATTGACAAACATCATGTGTGTAATTCATGGCACAATTCAAACGGGATCGAGAGATAATCTTTCTCTCTCCATCAGAGGTCGCGTTAACCGAATATTTTCCGTCTATGACGGATTTTCTTTAACAATGACGGACAAATCTGAAAGCAGTCCGTCATTTTGACAGATTAGAACAAACTCGGAACAGCGCCAAAGTTTCCCCGCAGCGAGGCTCCGGTGTTATGCCGTGTTATGCATGCCCTCCAAAAAGGAAATCATACCGTATCCAAACCTAACTGTGCCGTACAAATCATTGACATGTCTGTGAGTTTTGGCTTTACGCTAGGGCTGTGCGATTATGGCAAAAATCATAATCACGATTATTTGGTCAATAATTGATATCACGATTATTTTGACGATTATTCATTGACCATTTATTGAACTTTAAAACAAATAATATTTTACCAATAAACAAGATCAATAAATGTGTTGGAGCGCTCTTCCAAAACCATACTAAACATATATTATTAATATGATAAATAAAAATAAATTAGACCAAAATAAATGAAATCAAACATGTTGCAGTGCACTGTCACAACCTACTGAACACTCCTTAACATATAGCCAACATTTTGGTAAAACATATTCAACATATTCCACTCAGTTAAACGTTGAAGGCTGGCCAACCGTCATGGTCCAGAAGTAACAGGAAATACATGAACTACAATTTAAGACCAAATAAAAATGTTTAGGCCACCATGGCAAATGCTGGTAGGGCTGCTCGTGTCATCTCTTAAAGATGTTTTGCAAGAAATACCAGCCTGTTTACATGGTCTGGTTTCAGAGATGAGCGCAGGCAGGGGACGATATTGCCACCTGTACTGAAGACCCTCTCTGAAGAGGAACTTGTGGCAGTGCTGCCACATATGACACAGGAAAAAAAGAAAAGACTCTGAAGAACCCTTTCTTTGCCATTATATAAAAATAGTGTTGCTACAAAAGTATAAATTAGGCTTACTAATAAGACAACTCAGATCTGAAGCTACACAGTAATCTGCTGCAGCAACAGTGCAATAAAAAAGACAACATTAATAGAATCAAACCCCATTTTTTGTTGCATTTTATTAGAGTATAAAAAGAAATGCCTTTAAAATAGGATGCAAGCAACACTAGTTTCTGAACTGATAGACTATAATCAATTTAAACAGAACAGATCTTAATGTTTGCATTCTTATACCATTTTGTACAATAATTATCATGAATAAGTTCAAACAAACTAAAACTTACAGCAGATTAATAACGGTATCTAAATTGAGTTTTCATTATATCAAAAACCTGTTGAAATGCTACTGTTATTTTTACTGTCCCACAAAAGCGCGTCGGCAGCCTCCATGAATGCTTCTTTCATAACTTCGCCGTCTTTGAAAGACTTAATGTGTTTCGCAAGAACGTGACTGACACGATAAGATGCTCTGGTAGCAGCCTTGCTCTTGTTGTTGGGCCTGGTGAAAATGGACTGCTGTGCATTTAGCTGTCCTTTCAGGCCCCCTCCCCTTTTGGGAGCGTAGGGCAGAATTAGGAGGGAATTCCGTCTCGTAGCGTTTGTGCACTGTTTTGAAATGCCGCTCCTAAATGACCCTTCTTCGATAAAGCCACGCTCGCATTGCAGATGAGACAGATGGACTTTGAATTGGAATAGATACAAAAATAATGATCCTCCCACTCGGAGTGAAAATTATATATTTTGGGCTTTTTTGCTTCTGCCATAATTGCGGTCTTGTGTGTGTGCGGACTGTCACTCCTGTTGACCATCCATGCTGTTGACACGGACAACGAACTAGTGCACTGCTCACCAGCCACGCCCGGACACATGGGGTGAGGCCGGCCAATCACAAAGCTTTGATGCGTTCAAGTGCATTATTCTGGCACGGGAACATTATGTTACAGGACATTAACGATAAAACAGAATATTGTTGTTCTATTTTTAGACACATCTCGCGATCGACTGGGAATCTCCCCGCGACCCTTCTTTTTAACGAGTTGCTGCTCTTGTTCTGACATCTTCGCTTGCGCTGAACACTCACAACACATGTCACTCCCACGTGGCCGAGTGGGCTTTTAGGGAGGGGCGAAAGCGCACCCACCAAAATAATCGTATTTTGTCAATTATGCTGTTTTCCTAATCGTCGCAAGCCATAATCGTAATCATGATTAAAATACGATTAATTGCACAGCCCTACTTTACGCTGTGCACGCTCCCGCGAGGTGCAGCAGCCATGCATAACACGGCGCATGTGAACTGTCCCTCCCCCCCGTTGACAGTTCACGAGCATGCTCTTCCCCCCCCCCTCGTCAGAGTTGTGTAAAGGCCGACGGGGTAATTCTGGATTTTGACGGAAGTTTTACGATCCTGTCCGTCGAAAAAGTCTAGCTAACCTCTGCTCTCCATTGACTTCAATACATGCTTTTTCTGAACCAAGGTCCCGTGGAGGAAGGGGAGGGACTTCGCCTCTGTTTCTGTTACATTTGATCATTTCAGTAGTTTTTGTGACCCTTTTTGTGACGTTTGTGTTTCCTTTCCAGGTTTCTATTTGAGAACCAAAGCCCAGCACACGTATACTACCGGTGGAAGATCTACACCATACTACAGGTGAGATTTCTAATTAAAATAGCTTTGAATTCAGTGAAGTGTCTCAGGAGGTTGTATCTTGTAACTGTTCATTATTACCTGCTCAGGGTGAAGCGCCAGTCAAGTGGAAAACGGAGGACTTTAGGATGTTTAAGAACGGCTCCTTGTGGCACCCGCCTCCTCTGAACCCGTACCTTCACGGTCCGTATGATGACGGGGAGGAAGAGGAGGTAGAGGAGGAGGCCGGCAAGAAAGGCTGTTTGAAAGAAGAGTAAGACCATTTCCTTATGCTGTTATTTAAAATGGGGTTTTACGCGTCTGTCTGTTTATGCTTTCCTCTCCTCTCTGCAGTGAGAGGGACAAACTGGAGGAGATGCTGCGAGGGATGAGTCCCAGGAGAGGAGACATCGCGGAGGCCATGTTGTTTTGTCTGAGCCACGCAGAAGCAGCTGAGGAGATCGTGGAGTGCGTCACTGAGTCTCTCTCCATCCTCAAAACCCCTCTACCCAAGAAGGCAAGACGCAGTCTATTCATGTGAAATACTGTGGTTAAAATGATGATTTAAATATAATTCATATTGTTCTCCTCACGTTTCAGATCGCACGGTTATATCTAGTGTCTGATGTGCTGTACAACTCCTCGGCCAAAGTATCCAATGCGTCTTACTACAGAAAATAGTACGTTAAATCTGCTTTTTTGTGCTTTATTAGAAGATTGGAATACCTGACTCATCTGCTTTAAACTCATATTTGTCTTCAACAGTTTTGAGGCAAAGCTCTCCCAGATATTTGCAGACCTCAACGCGACGTACAAAGCGATTCAGGGTCACCTTCAGAGCGAGAACTTCAAGGTACAAAACCACACAACGGCTACACAACACACTTTACAGATTGTCTCTTACACACTAAACGCTCCTGGTCTGTTTTACTCCGTGTGTGCAGCAACGCGTCATGGCGTGTTTCCGCGCCTGGGAGGACTGGGCCGTGTACCCCGACCCGTTCCTCATCAAGCTGCAGAACATCTTCCTCGGTCTGGTTAACATCGCAGCCGTGGAGAAGGAAGTCCCTGTCCTCATCGTGGAGGTAAACACACTCTCCTCACGGTGCAGAAACGTGTCCACATAACATTTACACAGTGTTACCAAAAACACATACAAGTGTAAAAAGCAAGTAGCATTATTATTCTGTATTGAACCCCTGACCCTGTTTGTCCCAGGCTGAGCCAGCAGAGGACATCGACGGCGCTCCCATAGGGGAGTATGCCGATGTGGGTCTGATGGAGGACGTGGACGGCGTCCCGATCGACGGCGGACACATCGACGGGGCTCCGATCGACGGAGCGCCGCTGGACGACCTGGACGGCGTCCCCATTAAACCCATGGAGGAAGACATCGATGGGATACCTTGTGAGTATTTGTTTTAATACTTTATTTAGAATTTTTCCTTTTAGATACTGCAGTGGCTTTTTAACCTTATCCTACATGAGCCACTGAGGGGTGGGAGCGGGAGAACTAAGTTTGGACGCGTGTTCCAGATGACAAAACAATGTCCATACGACATTTATTTTGTTGTCCGTATAGCCTTTCTGTTACCTTTCAGATACCGATGTATGCACGCCAGTCACGCTGAATACAAACAGGTTTAACACACAGCTCATATTAACACGGCTTCTGCCGACACAAAACACCTTCACCTGATCACCTAGTGATTACACACACACACACACACACACACACACACACACACACACACACACACACACACACACACACACACACACACACACACACACACACACACACACTAGGGGGCACCACCCGGCTGAAATGGCCTCTTCGGGGAGGACGAGATCAGAAAAAATGTGCATTACTGAAACCCACATAGCTCTGCCTCACTGTCTGTCTGTGTGTGTTCATGTGGAAATGTGTGTGTGTATTAGGAAATGTGTGTGTGTATTAGGTGTGTCTGTCATGTGAGTATTTCCAAAGCTAATCATTTTTCCATCCTGCCAATCAGACAGTGATGTCAGAGAGGGGGAGAAGTGGGAGGGAGGCAGAAAGATGGGGGGGGATTGCAGCTGAAAAGTACCCTAGTGTTTTATATGCGAAACCAGCCTGAAACACACACCCGCAGCCTGGCTGTGAGTCTGTGTGCTCACACACAGACTCACAGCCTCGCCGCGTCCCGCCGTCTCAGGGATGAGAAATCCGTGAAGCTGCAGCTGAGAAAAGATTGTGTGTGTGTGTGAGAGGTCGTCGTTACGTCACTTGGTTTCCGGAAGAAACAAATGGAAAAATAGAAATCCCCAACGAGGCGTTCTGGGGCAGCACAGACAGGTCTTCTCTGTGTTAGAGTGTTACTCGCTACAGGGTGCACTTTGAGGGTTTGAGACTCTGCAGACCGTTCACATGCAGAACAACCTTCATAACACAAGGGGACGGGTGAGAACCAGAAAAGCATGACATGGGCCCTTTAAATAAACGTGCAGATAAAATACAAACAAAGACACATGCATTATGGCTCCAGCAGTTACAATAAAGCAAAGTCACCCGAAACCTTTCCAAGGCGTACAAGAGCCGGGTATTAATGACTATTTGAACATGTTTCTCACAGGAGTCTACATGAAAACATCTGAGCACAGAGTAATACAAGAACATGGACAATTCCTGAGAATAGTCTAACGCTGCCAGTCGACAGCATCGTAGACATAACAAAAAGGCCACGGGTAACCCACTACCAACACACAATAACTGGGGATGGATTGCCCAACATCAGAGCAAAATAAGAATTACGCAGTCTTTAGAGGAAGTCAAATACAAGCAGCGGCAGAGCTCTTTAATTAAATGATGAATGACACGTCTTCCACACCTTAATGAAGCACTCTGGGTTAAAGGGAACTGGCTCCATCCTAATGGTGTGTGTTCTAATGATCCACATGTTCCACCGGATGCAGCTCTCGCACAGTGACTCAATATGTTGTTTTGTTTTTTAGTGGATCCATCAAAGGAGGCAACTTTCAAGGTAGCACCGTCGAAATGGGAAGCGGTGGATGAAGCCGAGTTAGAAGCTCAAGGTGAGACTACTCGTTTTTAACAACTTGACTTTACCTGATATCTGTCTCTTGTTCTGATGTGTGTGTACTTTGTTTTAATACCCGGTCTTTCTTTGCTCCTTAGCTGTGACAACTTCAAAATGGGAGGTATTTGAGCAGCCAGAAGAATCCAAAAAGTGAGTCTTGCGTGTCTGTGCTACGTTTTGAGTATTATTGCAAATCAAAAGTACACATTTTAATCTTATTCATGAACTGTTTCCACCTCTGCAGGAACGATCATGACAGTGATTACGAGGACAGGAGCCCCCGCTCAGAGGATAACGGGACCTACTGCAACCCCTCCAGAGACGACTCTGATGTGAAAGCCAAGATGTCTGAAATGAACGAGGAGAAACGCACCAAGCTCAGAGAGATAGAGGTACTTTATCGCTCGTGCCAAGTGTTTTGAAGGCTTATGACACGACGTAAATATCTTCATTGTCTTCATCACACAGGTTAAAGTCATGAAGTTCCAAGATGAGCTGGAGTCTGGGAAAAGACCCAAGAAGACGGGGCAGAGTATTCAGGAGCAGGTGGAGCACTACAGGGACAAACTACTACAAAAGGTACGGCTCAAACCCTCTGGATGTTCAGTCAAACACAAGAGTCTGAATTCTAAAACTACGGCCGTTGTTGTAGGAAAAGGAAAAGGAGAAACTCGAACGGGAGAAAGAGCGGGAGAGGAAAGAGAAGGAGAAAGCTGAGGCCCGGTTGAAAGAGTTAAAGAAGGAGAAGGAGAAGGAGGACACGCCCACCAGGAAGGAGAGGTGAGACAGACACTTCCTTTCAGAGATAACAGTGCCTGAATAATCAAAGTGTACATAGTGTTCGTCCCTCCTTTAACCAGTGGAGCCCCATGGCATGACATCTAGCCAGAAGCAGCGTCTCAGGGCTTCTTAACATTAACAAACTGAATGTGTCATCCCCGCTTAACGGGAAGAAACTCAGCTTTCAGACGATATTAACCATTTTTAGCAAAACGAAACACAAGGCTCTGAATTAGCCCTGAGCGAACGCATGGTAGAACACCCTTCTTACTTATCGGATCTGCACAAACAAGATGTCGATTAGCAAACTGAGATTCCACAGATTCCAGACATAAGTATCATCACTGAACGACGACAAACACAAAAGTAGCTTTACGGGACCAAATCGGCTAAAAACGTCTTACCTTTGCTATTTCTGATCAATGGCAATAAAACGATAAACACGCTGCTGGAGGTTAATCCCTGATAATCCAGCTTCATTTTTATGTCAATAACGGAGATTTCATATTAGCTAATAGCTATTAGAGCAGGCGGACCGCGGTCCGGATCCGGACCCAGACGCCGACCTGTACGGACCCGGACCTATAATCAATACATTAATAGGGGATTTCAATTTTGACGGGGCGATTCTATTTCAACCGCCGCCGGCAGGGGGCGAAAGAGACGAGTGAGCGATACAGGGAGAGAAACACAGAAGAAGAGACGAGAGCCCGGCAGAGAGAAGCGGAGAGGAGAGTGAACAGGCGAGTTAGCGGCAGACAGGGAGAGACACATAATGACACATGGCGCTCTCCAAGAAGAGGAACGTGGACAGTGAGAACAGAGCTTTTAACCCCGAGTGGACTCATTCATGTTCATCCTGCCCACTGGGAGCACAGAGCCAGTGTGTCTCATTTGTTCAGAGACCGTGGCGCTCATTCAAAGTGCCAAAACGCCACTGAGACAAAACACAAAGTGTTTGACCAAACATTCGCTCTCAAGTCAGAACTGAGGTCACAACAAATAAGTATCGTTCCAGGGCAGGCTAACCGAGGCTAACCAATGAGCACATGCATGTGTATGAGACACCATTTCAGCCCAGATTTAAACTGGCAGGACGATAAGCTCCAGCTCAATTCTCTCAGTGAACCAAAACAAGAGGGAAAGAAAGAGAATTGTTATGATGTGTAAAGACTGATATTGTTCTATAGTCGTCTGAAACTGTTCAGTCATGATGTGAAACGGTTAACAAAGAGAAAGGGAAACTCAAGCTGCTGCTACACTTTATTTTATTTATCTGAAATTAAGCACTTTTAAGATTTTCAAAAGCTATTTTATTTATTTTCTCTATTATTTTTAAATGCAGCCCGAGAGGAACATTACACACATCCACAGTCTTTACTGTATATCTGTAGTTCAATGTTAATTGACAATAAATATTGTTGTTTAGGAATTGTACTTTCTTTATTTGATTAGCAGTCAGTTGTTGATTACATGCAGACGTTGATAAAGCTACTTCAATATATATCACACTAGTTCATGAAGCAACTTAGACATGTTGAAGTTCCGGACCTTTGCATGGGGAGATGTTCTCTAACTGGACCTCGTTGAATACCCCTGTACTTGAGTGTATGACAGCTTCCTGTTCCGGGGCGTTCTGGCATCACTCATTCACCAATGGGTAATGTTTAGATGGATTTTAGGAACCTCCCCTCGATGCTATTGGCTCTAACGGTTAAAAAGAGGTGTCAATCATCAAAATCGACCGAGGGGGGCCAGAGATATGGAAAATGCACCCAAATGACCCAGAAGTGTTTTTTTCTTTCTAAACCTCTCTAAAAAACCGTCGCTTGTTTTGCATCAACCTTGATACAAGGGTACCGACTATAAGCCGCGCCTTTTCCCCCATTTCCCGACCCTGCGGTTTATATAACGGTGCGGCTAATGGCCACCTCCTAAATCTATGGATTTACAGGTTACAGTCCACCACCTTTAACTCTATGGGCTCTATGGAGCCCCCCACCTTTAACTCTATGGGCTCTATGGAGCCCCCCACCTTTAACTCTATGGGCTCTATGGAGCCCCCCACCTTTAACTCTATGGGCTCTATGGAGCCCCCCACCTTTAACTCTATGGGCTCTATGGAGCCTCCCACCTTTAAGTGGCGGGCTCCAGCAAAGAGTGAGCCAGGAGCGCACCGTTTAAGTGTCTGAAACGCTATGTGATGCAGTACAGTTTGCACAGCACATGTTCTGTAGCTACTATTGCACTAAATGGTAACACTTGAATACGTTATGCAACTTGTTTGTTGAAATGTTAATAAATGGGAGCTTCCTCAAACAGCCATCTCTTTCCCGACAATCCCCTCTGTGCACGAACCCTTACATGAAACATTAAAACACCTGCGGCTTATATATGTACACATTCAATTTAGCTGCTGCGGCTTATATTCAGGTGCGCCTTATAGTCCCAACATGACGGTACTTATGTTATAGTTTGGATTCCTAAAGCTTTTAGATCCCATCATCAAGGGTGCTTTTCACTATAAGTCATGTTTTTTTACACATGTTAAATTAAATTGTACTATGTTCAGTCTGAATTGACTTTAAAATAAAACATCTATATTGATTCTGACTTCTCTAAATCCAACTCACAGGTTTATCTTTGCTTTGAGGAAAAAGTGTAGTTCTGGTCATTTGTTCTGGAAATGTGATTTTCGAGGTTTCCTTCCTAACCCTTTATCTCTGGTTGATAGGAAGCGTCGCCACAGTGGTTCGCCCAGTCCGACGCGGAACAGCAGACGAGGTCGATCAGCTTCTCCCCGTTCAGAGCGATCGGAAAGATCCGAACGCTCCGAGCGCTCGTACTCTAAAGACACGTCGTCCCGGTCCACCCATAAAGACTCGCCACGATCCAGCATCAAGAAGTCCACAAAGAGGTGAGAGATGGGTTTGTATTAACGCAGTGTTTGTACAGGTTCAACTCTAATCCTACGTCCTGTTGGTCCCACTAGATCTCCCTCACCTCGCACACCCAAGCGATCCAGACGGTCGCGCTCAAAGACGCCCAAAAAATCCACCAAGAAGTCCCGCTCCAAATCTAGGTCCCCTCATCGGTCCCACAAAAAAGCGAAGAAAAGCAAACACTGACGTCTCCAAACCAGCCGTGTTGTATAAAAGATTGACTGGATTTGCTGCATGGGTTTCCATCTGGTGTACGAAGGGATGGGGCCATTGTTTTATATTGTACAAAAAAAAATAATGTGCTTTTGTGTCCTGATTTCCGCCCCCCCCCCCAAATCACCTCCCGATGGAATTGATCCATGTGATGACAATAAGTCATGCCGTCATTTTCTGTTTTTGTAGTTCACAATAAAAAGGATTCCTAATAAACTGCTGTCTTTTTTAAATCCTGTGTCGGTGGTTCTATGGATCCGTCTCTCCTCTCCTCTCCAGCGAAACCTAGGTAGGGGTCTTTTCCAAAGGTATCAGGCTCGTTATCCGGAAAGAAAAGGAGGTCTTGGATCGAAGGACCAATGATGTTAGGAAAATATCACTCGACACCGAGTTGAGAATCAAGTCAGGTACTAATTTATTCTTGCAAGAAGGAGCAGAGTTAAGTCGCATACAAGGAATGCTGCTCAAAGGAGCAGGAAGTAACATCAAGCATATAGTCTTCCCTCCGCTACCAGCCTCTTAAACAAGGCCTGCCCCCCCGCTGACACATCATAGACTATATGCATTACAAATGCACACACTGTCATACTCCTATTCTGATTTCATAGTTTATATGCAAACATTCATTCATAGCATTCTATTTCCATGTCAATTACTGCTTTATTTTATTGCTATTTAACTGTATTCTATTACGGTGTAAAATATTTTGTGTTTTTTATATGGACATGACATCAAGTCAAATTCCTAGTATGTGCGAACCTACCTGGCAATAAACCGGTTTCTGATTCTAAAGTCAGGAGGTATCAAACGGTGTCGGGAAGGCGTCGGGACATCTCTGGAAAGGCAGTGTTGCTCTTTGCCCCTCAATAGGAGGAGACAAAGTGTGTGTGCTCTCGTTGGTATCAACAACATGCCTTCTCCTATCTACGAAGAGGCCGCTGCGAGGTCACACACAGTATCATGCCCATCAGAATAATAGAAGACACCTGGTATTTTCTCCAACACACCACAAGATATACACAACTAATCGTGAGTAATTAGTGTAGGGTAATAATCGCTCTTGTTGCAGCCACATGTTAATACTTCACAGCTTGGCCTTCTTCAGCTGATCCCTCAGCTCCAGGTGAGCGATGGAGGACAGGTGCACCTCGTCCGGTCCGTCAGCAATGCGCAGCGTCCGCACGTATGCATACCTTGGAGATAAAGGTAACATCAGGAAGGAAAATAGGTATTGCATATTTAGCATGTGAGCAGGGGGAGGTAGCTTACATCTGTGCGAGAGGGAAGTCTCCGGAAACACCTGCGCCTCCATGCACCTGGATGGCGCAGTCCAGCACGTGGCAGGCCATCCTGGCTGCTGACACCTTGATCATAGCAATCTGGGGAGAGGAGCAGAATGTAAGAGCTTATGGGAAGTCTGTCACCCAATTATATCAATCTGTTTTATTACCAAGTAGTTTCCACACATGCTATACTGTGACTTTTGTCATTTATTTCAACATGCTATATTATCACTTTTCTGTCATTTTTAACGACATACAAATACTACGCCTTATTTCCACATAAAATACCATGTTTCAGACTTACTGTTTTTGAAATAAGGCACGGTATAGTGTGTAGAAACCATGTATCGTATGTCGTTAAAAATAACAGAAAAGTCATATAGCATGTTGAAGAGAATTACCAAAAAGTCCCCCCTTATGTCCGGAGCTAACTTTTTAGATAAGGGTCCCCTCTTATATATATATAATTTTCCACATGAAATACCATGTTTTTTTTAAAAGACATATATATATATATATATAAGGAAAAAAGGACAGTGATGTAGAAATAAGGCGTACGTTGATCAAAATGACAGAAACGACATAATATACTATGTCGAATGTTCACATCCAGTTCGTACTAATGAAAAGGTAACTACTGTGGATTCGGGACTCTACCCGCATTTGCTCCTGTGGGTAATGTCCACAGTATTGACATTTACATGTCTAATATGTAATTGTAAAGCGCTTTGAGCACCTGTAAAAGCGCTCTAAATAAAAAATGTAATCCATTATTATTATTGTCTCTCAGATTATTGAGAGTCCCACCTGTCTGCGAGCCGCCCGGCCGCCCAGCGAGTCCAGAGCCTGAGCAGCGTGCAGCGTCAGCAGGCGGGTCTGATCTATCATCAGACGGCACTCTGCGATCCAGTGAGACACCACTTCCTACAAACACAGAAGAGGCAGCATATTAATCACGCTGCATCTATAAATCAGTCCACTAGGTGTCACCAGCAGGTCATACCTCAAGCCTTTCAAGATGCAAGGCTTTTATTGTCATTTGTACGTAGCTACTCCAACAGTGCAACATAATAAAATAGCCAAAAACCCAAGTACTCACATATTTGAATTAAGTAAAAGTAGAAAAACTACAAGTAAAAGTCATTTAAGACTGATATTAAATGTCATTAGTGTGTTCCCGCTACACTTTTTCTTAATGCTTTTTGTGAAGCACTTTGAATTGCCTCGTGTTGAAAGCTGCTGTATAATAAACTCATCCTGGCTTACACTACAGCAGGGGTGTCCAAACTACGGCCCGGGGGCCAAATGCGGCCCGCCCTCACTCAGCAAATTCAAAAAGTATAATGACTTAAGTATCAACTTCTGCTTGTCTCCTTAAATATATATGTTCAAATACATTACACAGTATTCATGTGTTAAGAAGCCCAATAACACACTCACATAACAACCTTTAAATACACCCTTCATATGTCCTCTTATTATCAGCAATCTGAAGCTTCTGTTTTAAGGAATGAGCTGCTAACAAAATAAATGAAACCCTACGGAGAGCTGTGTGGTTCTTTCATCAATATCAACCATCATTTATCTACATTTGATTGATTTCTCTAACTTATAACTAATGAGGCAATATACCTCTAGGGAGCGGCCCAGCCCTTCGTATATTTTTCTATATGTGGCCCTCGGTGAAAAAGGCTTGGCCACCCCTGGCCTGCACTACACCAACAGCCCTCGAGTTAAAGAGGGTTGGATGTTCACTTACATGTTGGTACAGTTTCTTTCCGAATGTTTCCCTGGAGGCAGCTCGTCGGCAGAGCAGCTCCAGAGCGAACTCTGCCGCTCCGACGGCTCTCATGCAGTGGTGCAGCCGACCTGGACCCAGGCGACCCTGAGCGATCTCAAAGCCCCGGCCCTCGCCTGAAAAATGTTAGAACAATATCACTCGTTTCCAGTTTGAGCTTCAACCTCAGGATCCATGTGTCTGTGATCCTCTCCAGAATGGAAGGAGTCATCACATACAGAGACTAGTTCCTGAACAGTGTCCTTCACATGCTGATATCCAAGAGAGGGAGTTACACAGTCACAAGATGGAGGAATAGAAAGCAGTATTCAATGTTTACTTCAGATTAGCTCCACGTCAGAAATGAGCATGCTTGATGTCTCTCTCCATAGAGGCTGAATCCTCATGTTAATCACATAGCTATCATATGCCTCAAACAGTCCTGATGCTCTTCTAGGTAATCACACATCCTGTCATGTTCACAGCTACAGTTGGGATACCTTTGTTATCACGTTACTCTCAAACACCTGCCCTTTGGAATCTTTTAAACTTACTCGACTTTGATCTCAGTGGGTTTTGTTTTCCAGTGACATCTAGTTCATTTTATACGATTTTACTAACCCGGTGTGCCCCCCTTCCCTCTTTGTATTATTATTATTAGTTTAATTTTAACACTCCTTTTAAACTTATTTATAATCAATTTATTTATTCTGATTATTGGGGAGATTGTTTTAATTCTACTTGTTTTTATTATTGCACTTGTGTTTTAATACTTGCACTTTTAAATGTATTTAATGCATGGTTTTAACTAACAGAACTAGAATCACTTTTAAATTAACTATCTCATTTAAGGTCACACACACACATACCATGTATACATCACTTCAGGGGACATTACATTGACTTACATGCATTTCCTGGAGACTTATCCTAACCTTAACCATAACCAACACATGCCTAACCCTAACCAAGTCTTCACCCTAAAATGAATGATTCCCCTTATGGGGACCTCCAATTTGTCCCCATAAGGGAGGCGAGTCCCCACACGTGACTGTGTAAACAGATTTAGGTCCCCACAAGTATAGTAATGCTAGGACACACACACACACACACACACAACACACACACACACACAACACACACACAACACACACACACACACACACACACACACACACACACACACACACACACACACACACACACACACACACCACACACACACACACACACACACACACACACACACACACACACACACACACACACACACACACACACACACACACACACACACACACACACACACACACACACACACACACACACACCTCAGAGCTTGTATAATGCTTTTCAAAGGGTTTTTATAAGGTCTTAATAGGGCTATGTTTATGGAGTTTTTTTAATGTTTTTTTAAACGCCTATTTACCGAGAGCCAGTGCACCACGCTCTTCCACAACCTAACCCTAAGTCCTAAAGGATTAAACTATAAGAATTACAGTATGCCATTAAAAAGTTAGAGTTACTATGACTAAGCCCAGCAGGGAAATTAAACCTGTGGCCTAGTGACCTCACACACATTACTGCTGTGGAGTGGCTTCTGAAGAGCAGTGGGATGAGTGGAAACACGCAGCGAGTCGCTTACCCAGGAGGATGTTCGAGGCGGGGACTCGCACGTTTTCAAAGTGCACTTCGAAGTGGCCACCGTGGATAGCATCTGAGCACAGAAGAGAGGGAAAGATGTTGTTAATTCGCTCAGGAAAGCAAGTAAAATACACAATATCAAAAGCACTTTTCCTACCATCCTGTCCAAACACAGTGAGCGGTCTGACGAGCTTTACCCCCGGTGTTTCCATGGGGACCAGGATCATGCTGTGCTGCCCATGCCTGAGGAACAACATCACAACACGGCTTTAAAGGTCCCCTGTTACACTGTTTTCATCAATATATCACAGGTCTCAGATATATCCAGAGCCTGTCTCTGATTGGCTGGAACACCAAACAGATCATGGCAGCATTACCCATAATCCCCTCTGTTTCAGCCCTGTCTCCAAAGTGCTGATTCTCTGTCTGTTACTTGAAGATAAGGAGCCCCTCCCCACGCCCCTCTGAGAGAGAGTTGGTTACAAAGAACTCAATGGAGCTCTAGGAGGAGATTCAGGTGATAAGGGGGGGGGGGGGGGGGGGGGGTTACCTTGGTTGCTGATTGGCTAATGGTGACACAAGACAAAACATCGTTATGACATCATAAAGTGGCCAAAATCTGATCAGCTCAACAGGTTTTATAGAAATGGATCAGGACAAAAAGAGAGAGAATCTATTTTAGATCTATGACTCCACAGTAACCATTGTGACTACGTTTTTGCAAACAAGGTTGGGTGTGTGCCTGCCTGGATACACACTGACATAACAAGGAGAAAGTGCATTACAGATGTAGGGCGTGGTGCTTTCCCATGTACAACTTAAATGTTTCTAACTAAAGCCACACGATTTAACGGATTAAACAAGTGTCAACAAGATTAAGTTGAAACATTTGACTGTAATGTGATCCAAACCTCCAGGCAGAAAGACGAGGAGGAGGGTGACAATGCAAGTAACCAAAGTCGTTTTCTATTATTATAGTGGCACAGAAGAAGAAAATACTCTGTAAAGAAAAGTGTAACCGAACACTGAGAGCAGAGGATTGGAAACTGTTTATAAGGCATAACGACATAGTATACTAAATAAAATAAAAACAGTATTTTATGTCGAAATAAGGCAAGTTGATAAAGATGACAGAAACAACATTGTTGGGGAATAATTCGCCCTGCATGTCCTCCTCCTCCTTCGCCCTCTGACGCAGCTGACCGGCCTTGAGCAGCCGCTATCTCCCGTAAGGAGGGGCTGCTCTAGCAAGTTGTTGATGTTGCCAGTTTGTGAGCGGGCAGCTCTCGGTCAGAGATAGTTGTTGTTGTGGGACACCTGGAACACATCCTTCTCAGGGTGGAGATGACCTCGAGCCGTAAGCGACTGTGATTCAGTGTCCTCAGCTGTTTAGTCTCTCTATTGAAGAATGTTGATTATTACACTCTAGTTAAAACCTGGAGCTGCAGGAGGGCTCTGCAGAATTGATGGTGGCATCTCAACCGTGTGGTCAGACCGTGGCCCGGGACATGTCTCGTGAATTCTCCGGCCGAAGCTCCAAATAAACCTTCAGTGTTTGATATCAGAGCTCCAGCTCTCCTCGTGTCTCTCTGAGTCCTGACTCCATCAAAGCTCCAGCTCTCTGAGTCCTGACTCCATCAGAGCTCCAGCTCTCCTCGTGTCTCTGAGTCCTGACTCCATCAGAGCTCCAGCTCTCCTCGTGTCTCTGAGTCCTGACTCCATCAAAGCTCCAGCTCTCCTCGTGTCTCTCTGAGTCCTGACTCCATCAAAGCTCCAGCTCTCCTCGTGTCTCTCTGAGTCCTGACTCCATCAGAGCTCCAGCTCTCCTCGTGTCTCTGAGTCCTGACTCCATCAAAGCTCCAGCTCTCCTCGTGTCTCTCTGAGTCCTGACTCCATCAGAGCTCCAGCTCTCCTCGTGTCTCTGAGTCCTGACTCCATCAAAGCTCCAGCTCTCCTCGTGTCTCTGAGTCCTGACTCCATCAGAGCTCCAGGGCTCCTCCTCGTGTCTCTCTGAGTCCTGACTCCATCAGAGCTCCAGCTCTCCTCGTGTCTCTGAGTCCTGACTCCATCAGAAGCTCCAGCTCTCCTCGTGTCTCTGAGTCCTGACTCCATCAGAGCTCCAGCTCTCCTCGTGTCTCTTGAGTCCTGACTCCATCAGAGCTCCAGCTCTCCTCGTGTCTCTCTGAGTCCTGACTCCATCAGAGCTCCAGCTCTCCTCGTGTCTCTGAGTCCTGACTCCATCAAGCTCCAGCTCTCCTCGTTGTCCTCTGAGTCCTGACTCCATCAGAGCTCCAGCTCTCCTCGTGTCTCTCTGAGTCCTGACTCCATCAAGAGCTCCAGCTCTCCTCGTGTCTCTCTGAGTCCTGACTCCATCAGAGCTCCAGCTCTCCTCGTGTCTCTCTGAGTCCTGACTCCATGAGTCCTGACTCCATCAGAGCTCCAGCTCTCCTCGTCTCTCTGAGTCCTGACTCCATCAAAGCTCCAGCTCTCCTCGTGTCTCTGAGTCCTGACTCCATCAAAGCTCCAGCTCTCCTTGTGTCTCTCTGAGTCCTGACTCCATCAGAGCTCCAGCTCTCCTCGTGTCTCTCTGAGTCCTGACTCCATCAGAGCTCCAGCTCTCCTCGTGTCTCTCTGAGTCCTGACTCCATCAGAGCTCCAGCTCTCCTCGTGTCTCTCTGAGTCCTGACTCCATCAAAGCTCCAGCTCTCCTCGTCTCTCTCTGAGTCCTGACTCCATCAGAGCTCCAGCTCTCCTCGTGTCTCTGAGTCCTGACTCCATCAGAGCTCCAGCTCTCCTCGTGTCTCTGAGTCCTGACTCCATCAGAGCTCCAGCTCTCCTCGTGTCTCTGAGTCCTGACTCCATTTGCTTCAGAAGTTTCCCCCACACACGAAATATACTTTGTCGAAAAATTCAAAAAGACGACAGTGTTTAATGTCGAAATAAGGCTCGTTATAGCAGAGAATTGGAAAACTGCTTCCAACATTTTGGAATGATATTACCTGTAGTCAGGGTTCGAGTTATAATCTGAGCTTTACTAACATTAGGGGCGGAGATAAATATATCAATAACAGCCGGGTAATAGCGTAAATAACGGGTGATATTTGTACCTTGGAGGTGAAGTGCAGGCATAGTGTCATTCAAGAGAGAATACGATGCGTAGTTCTTTTGGAAAACATGTTTTTCTTTGAGCCTATTTACCTCGTTAACGTAAATAATACTCATCACATTGTAAATTGCATTATTTGTGATTAAAGTAATGGTTGTTGGTAATGTATTAGCGACCCCCACCGATGTATGATTTCACTGCTTTCATAGGAGCTCAGACGCCTCCTTATGGGAGCTCATTGGTTCCACATAACTCCAACCCTGCCTGTAGTTGATAACATGAAATGAGATAATCAATGTTTCTCTGACCTGCTGCTCACATCCTGAGAGGCGCTCCTGCACATCACGATGGCCACTTTGCACTGAGGGTTACCAGCACCTGGGGGAAAGAAAAAAAGCATCTGATGGTGTAACTAACAATGGGAGAGGGAGCGTTTTAAAACATGTGGGTTTCAATACTTGTAATGGAGTTCGTGACAGATTGAGACAGCCACAGGTTGAGTTACATTTCCTGAGTTGGATTCTTTCACATTGAGCAACATGGATAGTTTGTCATTAGGAGATGTTGTGTTTTTGTTAGAAACTGAAAATGTACTTTCTCAATAAAAAAACGAAATACTTGGGAAAAGAGCCATCATATTAATAACAAGATACCACACAAACTAGATGTCAAGTGATCTGGATAGCTGATACCAAATGTAGAATTCCTCAGTACAGTGCACTCTCAGACAAACAGTCTCTAATGTGGCTTTGAGTCCCAGAGGCACAGACAGGGCGACCAATCGTCTGCCTTCCTGTTTAGATTTATGTCCAAAGTGGCGCAAAAAGTGTCCCCTGAGGAAAGGACATCTGGACACCAAACAGCGACAAGCAAGACATCAACGGTCAGAGTATTCACATTAAAGAGGACACATTCTCTGGAGGGATCACAGGGAATTGAGTCTTTGCAAACCTAAAGAAACCACTACAGGCTAAAGCGTAATAGGGCCTCTTTTTGGTGATAAAACTGAGTAAATGTGACAGAAAAACATTAAGTGATTAAACTTCTAATAACCCTTTGTAATAGAGGATGTTAAAGGTCTCCTATCATACTGTTCTTCATCAATATATCACAGGTCTCAGATATATCCAGAGCCTGTCTCTGATTGGCTGAAACACCAGACAGATCACTGCAGCATTACCCATAATCCCCTCTGTTTCAGCCCTGTTTCCAAAGTGCTGATTCTCTGTCTGTTACTTTAGATGAAAATAAGGAGCCCCTCCCCACGCCCCTCTGAGAGACATTTGGTTACAAAGAACTCAATGGTGCTCTAGGAGGAGATTCAGGTGATGGGGGGGGGGGGGGGGTTACCTTGGTTGCTGATTGGCTAATGGTTACACAAGACAACACATCGTTATGACATCACAAAGTGGCCAAAATCTGATCAGCTCATTTTCAGACAGGTTTTTATAGCAATGGATCAAAAACATGTTGATGTAGAAGAGACATGAAGAAGAGGGGACACATGTTGATGTAGAAGAGACATGAAGAAGAGGGGACACATGTTGATGTAGAAGAGACATGAAGAAGAGGGGACACATGTTGATGTAGAAGAGACATGAAGAAGAGGGGACACATGTTGATGTAGAAGAGACATGGAGAAGAGGGGACACATGTTGATGTAGAAGAGACATGGAGAAGAGGGGACACATGTTGATGTAGAAGAGACATGAAGAAGAGGGGACACATGTTGATGTAGAAGAGACATGAAGAAGAGGGGACACATGTTGATGTAGAAGAGACATGAAGAAGAGGGGGACACATGATTGATGTAGAAGAGACATGGAGAAGAGGGGACACATGTTGATGTAGAAGAGACATGAAGAAGAGGGGAGACACATGTTGATGTAGAAGAGACAGAAGAAGAGGGGACACATGTTGATGTAGAAGAGACATGAAGAAGAGGGGACACATGTTGATGTAGAAGAGACATGAAGAAGAGGGGACACATGTTGATGTAGACATTAGAAGAGGGGACACATGTTGGAATGTAGAAGAGACATGAGAGAGGGACACATGTTGATGTAGAAGAGACATGAAGAAGAGGGGACACATGTTGATGTAGAAGAGACATGAAGAAGAGGGGACACATGTTGATGTAGAAGAGACATGAAGAAGAGGGGACACATGTTGATGTAGAAGAGACATGGAAGAAGAGGGGACACATGTTGATGTAGAAGAGACATGGAGAAGAAGGGGACACATGTTGATGTAGAAGAGACATGAAGAAGAGGGACACAGTGTTGATGTAGAAGAGACATGAAGAAGAGGGGACACATGTTGATGTAGAAGAGACATGAAGAAGAGATGGGACACATGTTGATGTAGAAGAAGACATGGAGAAGAGGGGACACATGTTGATGTAGAGAGACATGAAGAGAGGGGACACGTGTTGATGTAGAAGAGACATGAGAAGAGGGGACACATGTTGATGTAGAAGAGACATGAAGAAGAGGGGGCCACAGTGTTGATGTAGAAGAGACATGAAGAAGAGGGGACACGTGTGATGTAGAGAGACATGAAGAAGAGGGGGACACATGTTGATGTAGAAGAGGACATGAAGAAGAGGGGACACATGTTGAATGTAGAAGAGACATGAAGAGAGGGGACCATGTTGATGTAGAAGAGACATGAAGAAGAGGGGACACATGTTGATGTAGAAGAGACATGAAGAAGAGGGGACACATGTTGATGTAGAAGAGACATGAAGAAGAGGGGACACATGTTGATGTAGAAGAGACATGAAGAAGAGGGACACATGTTGATGTAGAATAAGACATGAAGAAGGGGGACACATGTTGATGTAGAAGAGACATGAAGAAGAGGGGACACATGTTGATGTAGAAGAGACATGAAGAAGAGGGGACACATGTTGATGTAGAAGAGACATGGAGAAGTGGATTTTGCGTAATAGGTGACCACACTGGGGGAAGCGTGTTTGGCTCGCGGCACGGAGGGATTGCCTGTGAACTTTACATAACTTGTGTCGGTCCCTGGTACGAGGTGAACATCAGTCAAGCCCCAACACGTCCTGTCACACTGGAATGAAAACCAAACCTCAGCCCAGTGATCCATCCTCCAGGGAATGCGACACAATAAAAACACAAACGCCTTTTCCCCTTGCCAACAATGTCTGACTTTAAACACATATTTTATGGGAGCATACTTTTCTGTGACTTTTTAGGGTTACCAAATGTGTTTATTTCTCAGTAAATGCATGTGAGTATAACAGAGGGAGAATTTCCTTTCAAGTTAAAAGCCACGTTAGTCCACTGCATTTCCCTAATGTGAGTGAGGTTGGTAAATAATATACACAACACACAAACAATGCCGACATTCCAGTGAACAATAAGCTGTTTAAATGGGACTAACATTCATCTTTTAATTCCTCGTAGAAAAGGGTTTTTACCGGCACTCTGAACACACACACACACACACACACACACACACACACACACACACACACACACACACACACACACACACACACACACACACACACACACACACACACACACACACACACACACACACACCACACACACACACACACACACACACACACACACACACACACACACACACCACACACACCACACACACACACACACACACACACACACACACACACACACACACACACACACACACACACACACACACACACACACACACACACACACACACACACACACACACACACACACACACACACACACACACCACACACACACACACACACACACACACACACACACACACACACACACACACACACACACACACACACACACGGTGGAGGTGCTGTCAGAGTGTCAGCAGAGTGGGTGGAGAGTCACGTCAGTCCTCTGCTCCGGACTAACCAGCTGGTACTTTAAAGCAGGATATCAGCGACTCGACAAACTCCACAGAGAACCAGAAACAAGGTAGGAATACGTTCTTAACTTTTACTACCACTTTATTCCTTCTTCTTACCGTTACCTTTTCCATAACTACAAAACAAACGGCTACTAGAAGAACGTAAAACACCTTGGAAAGTATTTGCTTCTGTACATGAACCACATTGTGTGATATGACTCTTAACTCCAAGTTAATATATTGGCTTCAAATGCATTTTTACATTTCCCTTAAACACCTCAATAATAACGAAGCACTGTGTCTTGTTTTTCCGGTAGTCAAGGTTCATTTACTGTAAACCTCACAGTCAAAGTCCTGCACTTTATGACATTATAATAACCGTAGTGAACCGAAGATAACAAGCTAAATGTATTTGCTTTCAGCGCCTCAGTGCTATAGCTTGCTTCGTTAAAAATAGCTTTGTGGTTTTTCGAGGCTACCTTGTAAAAATAGAGGCATTTTGAAAGTTGTTTTAAGTTTTTTTTAAATACAATGTGCCATGTCTGATCCGAATTGAGACAGAACAGTCACATCATAACCAAAACCATCTGGATGGATCTGTCCATTGACATGCACTCAAACCTAGAACACACTGCAGGGAAGAGGAACCCCCAACAAGCAGAACAGGGTCTCTTTAAGCACGCTGATATCTTGAAACTAAATCATTACTCATCATTGAACTAATGAATTATGTATCCAACCTGTTATTCAGGCTCTAACTACATGTAGTGTCTCTATTTAGCTCCAGGCGACAAATAAGTAAAACAGCCTAATTGAAAACATGCATCAACACATGTGAGCAGCAGCTGTTGACAGATGGGATACTCCACATATTTCAGACGTGAACAGCTGCTTCAGAAACCCCTGCTCCTCCCAAAGCGAAGATAATAACTCCTTATATAACAAAGCTGGACACCTTTCATAAAACCACTGGTGTTTAAGAGTGATCTGCCAAAAAGGAAGGGAAACATTCCATGCATGAAACTCAGCCAGGATCCAAATCATGCGGTACGTAATGTGTTTTGCAGAAAGCCATGAATTCCACTTGTTAGTGAATCAAATAAACAACAACATATGATAATAATATGTAAACACAGCTAGACGAGTGCTTTTTGATCAGGTTGTTCCTCAAGAGGTCGTTAGATAAGTGGATAAAATGTAACTAACCCTTATACGCACACGCCTGTATTATCTCAGTCCTAGTAGACACGACATAGAATAGAATTGGGAGGGATGGAACCAGTGTTCGAATTACCCATTTGCTTTCGGGGGCCCTATTTTGCACATCCTGCAACTAAATATGTCACACGCACGCTCGGTTGACTGGCGCAGCAGCGCGGATATGAGGTGTGATACGGTGTGGAGCTGTCAAACTCGACCCTAACGCGCTTACAGCCGGCCAGCTAAAAGTTGTTCCGTTCACGTTGTCATTTTTAGACTCCTTCGATTCTGAATCCAAAAGCTGTGAGACTTGACTGTTTTCGTTTCGCCATATTTTTTATTACAAAGCCAGAGTTACAAAAATATCAATATGAAAATGTCAAATACCGCGCCGGCATCACCGTCGTAACCATAGCAATGTACGTAGCGTAAAAAATGCAGCCCATTTAACCCATCCTAGCACCAGGAGTCTAGCACTAGGAGCAGTGGGCAGCTAGTGCACAGCGCCCGGGGAGCAATGGGAGTGGGGGGGGAAGGGGGGTGTCCGGTGCCTTGCTCAAGGGCACCACGGCAGGGCAGGAGGTGAACTGGGACCTCTCCAAGTAGCAGTCCACACTCCATATTTGAGGTCTGGTCGGGGACTACATGAGGGAGATAACTGTCTTCGAATCTCCAATGGGATATCCTGTTGAACGAACATACAGTCAAGGCCACATCCTCTCGAGACCTAAGCTGCACTTTCCTGTCATCCTCATACTTCCTGTCAGCCTTGCCTTTGTGTCGAAAAATACGACATCACGAAAAGAAAGCGCAGAAATTGGAAGTGTTCACAGATCAGATAAGGACTAAAAGCTGTGAACGGATTGTCTCGTAATGCCCAGTAGATCTTATCAGTATGCTGCAAAATAAAGAGCTTTATTATCCAACAGAATACAAACTAAATCCAAGAGAATTCCTTGTCTCGTCCTCTCCGTGTTCCCTGGGGTCATTCAGACTC